TGCATGCATGTGTACATACATACATAGATACATACATATGCAGACGTGTATAAGAACGCACAAACCACATATGTATGCACACATACATTACTACCACGAACTTGACAGATCTTGTTGCATATACTGTCTCACATGTGAATGCGTAGCTTCACAACTTAGATGCAAATGCGACGTATGTAACTGTGTACGCATATGAACCTGTCTATATATATATATATAATATGTTATATATATATAATATGTTATATATATATATATATATACATACACATACACATACACACATGCATGCATGCATGCATGCATGCATGCTATAGCTATAGGCATAGCTGTAGGTGTGGATATAGGTGTAGGTGCAGATACAGATATACATATAGATATAAATATGGGTATGGATATAGACAGCTATTGACAGATAGACACACACACACACACTGGTATATAGCACCGTAGGACTTGTTTTGTGCCCACATCTTGGCATCCTGCGATCTCTAGAGGTCTGGTTGTCCTCCCGGAACGGATTTAGGCACCGTATGTCACGGAGTTCAGTGTAGGGACAAGGGCTATCACGATGATGACATTTGCAAGCAAATGTCACGAGCACGTTCTCTCCGAGTCTTCTCACACCTGACTGCCTAGACATGAGTCAACGAGGCACGACTTCTCACAGCATGAGTGGGGCAGCATGCATGTCGGCGCAGCTCACAGGATGCGGACGTCAAAACACAAGCTCGTGTCGTCAGACCGAGTGCATGTCAGTTCTTGTGGCTTTGGACCCGCCCACTTTCGGCGATCAGCATCCCCGCCGCGGTGCCAAAAACTCCACTTGAACGCCAGGCTGGCGCGTGAAGCATCGCTTCTTGCTGCTGGATTCCCAACCTTCCTTTGGCAGCACCAGCTTTTTCAGCGCACGCATGCTCTTCACTGCCAGCGGCAAGCCGGGATCTTGAAGTGCCTGGATAGGAGCCTGCTGGAGATTTAGGGATTCGAAGAAGGTGCGAAGCCCGGAGCGGAGGAAAAGAACTAAGCGGCGCGATGCTTCCGCCAGGGAGCTCGGATGTATCCGGCCTCGTCCGGAGCGAAAGGTTGGGGCAAACTGCCCGGTGTATTCAAAGTGCTGGCAGCGATTTTTCAGTTCATAGGTTGCCGTATCCGCCACTTGCCGCGAAGCACTCAGAAGCTTGCCGAGTTCTTCAATGTTCAAACATGCAAAGAACTCTCGACTGCCATTCACTCCACAGGGGCCCCAGTTGGGACTTGCGCCAGCAGAGAAATCCATCTTCAGCCAGCCTTTTTTGTAGTCATAGTTGAGATCAATCAGTCTTGCGCCACTGGCCCAGGCCGCCCCCAGTGTCGTACATGATTTGTACTTCTCGTATTTCTCATACGCAGTGGTGCCCAACTGCTTTGGGTTGTCCAGGGTCCACAGCACAGGCGTGTCGGGCGGAAGCTGCTTCCATGGCGGCATGAAGCAACTCCCGTGATACAGGATCTTTACTGATTGAACGGGGTCTTGGGATATGGTATAGTATAATTGCATAGGAGCTAATGTAGGGGCCTAAATGATTTCCAATACTATATTGGGGTTCCTTATTATAATTATAGTACAATGGGCCCCAAGCCCCTGTTCTAAGTCTTAAGACCCCTAGATTAGAAGGGGAAACTGCGTCTACTTATTCAGACCCCCCACACTGAACCCCAAATCCCAAGGTCTGATCCTATGCAAACGTTTACATTTGCTAAGACCGGAAAGACGACTAATGTAGGGGCCTTACTAATTAGAATAGGGGTTGGGGGTCCATCACAGTATACTTAGAATAAGGAACCCCCAAAAGAGTATAGGTAATTATTTAGGCCCCTATGTTACCTCCCCCCTCTCCTCCCCTCCCGGCACCAAGGACATCTCAGACAAGCAGCACGATTGCAGCACTTGCAACACAACCTTTTCCGACAAGCTGATGTCACTGTAGAGCCCAGAAGAATAGGCAGAAGCATCGAATCAAACTTATTTTGGAAGCCTTAGTATTCAGAATAGAGCCTTGGGGGGGTACATTAAACTCCAAGAATCTATAAGTATAACCAGGAAGGGAATACTATTGGTAACTACTCAGGCTCATTACACAAGCCCGGGGCCCTCCCTCGGTCCAGTATCTCCCTTCATAATGAGGGTAGCCTTTCTCCAAAGGGGCGGCTTTAGTTAGGAGACGCCAAATAAAACCCTGCCCCAAACCCTAAACCCTGGACCCTAAACCCCAAGCCCTGAACCCTAAACCCTAAGCCCTAAACCCGAAATTAACCCGAAACCCAAAAACATGAAGACAAAAGCTGTACTACTGGGGAACCTTCCTAGGTCCATGATCCTCCAAGTAAACCCCACCTTCAAGGGTAACTAAACCCAAAACCCTTTTAAACTCTGAACCAAAAAGCCAAAACCCAAAGTTTAAGACCCTAAACCCTAAACCCAAGGTTGAAAACCCTAAACCCTTTTAAACCCTAAACCCTAAACCCTCTTAAACTCTAAACCCGAAGCCCTTTTAAACTCTAAACCCTAAACCCTTTGAAACCCTAAGACCAAAACCCAGCAAAGCGCGGTCGGTTTCAGGATACCCTAAGTTAGTTTATGGGGAGTTCTCCAATTTAGTGCCCCTTTTAGGGTCCTTTTTAT